GGCTATTATTTTGTTTTAGTTGACTCTTTCAGTAAGTGGCCAGAAGTTTATTTTACCAAAGAAATTACAACGGCAGCCACAATAAAATTTTGCAGAAAAATTTTTAGTACTTTCGGGATTCCAAAAATATTTGTCTCAGACAATGGTACCCAATTTACTTCTTTTAAATTTAGAGAATTTATTAAAAACAATGGCATAATTCACAAATATTCCGCACCTTTCCATCCTGCAACAAACGGTCAAGGGGAAAGATTCATTCAAACCCTTAAGAAATCATTAAAATCAATGCGTTGTGAAGGTATGGATAAAGAAACGGAATTATGTAAACTTTTAATGCAGTATAGGAGGACACCTCATTCAACTACAGGGGAAAGTCCTTCGAAACTAATGTTTGGCAGAGAGCTAAGAACTCGTTTAGATTTAATAAAACCTATTAGTCCAGATACAGACCATTATACAAAAATTTCTCAAAGAACACTAAACGTGGGAGATAGAGTTTCAGCTCGCGATTATCTTCACACTAAGTGGCAATTTGGTAGAATTATTAAACGAATTGGTTTATTACACTATTTAATCCAGCTTGACGATAAGCGTACGTGGAAGAGGCACATAGATCAGTTGAGGAAAATTGGAGAGCATACACCTATCACACCTTACTTACCTGTTTGCGTTCCCAACAACATCACTGTTACTCCTAGTACCGTGCCTGCTCTCGACTCTTGTGAGGACATTCCAAAAACAGACGATTTGCACGAGTCGGATCGTTTGTTACCTCTGAATTCAGAGCCCGGAACTCAAGCTGAGACTGATACTCAAGTTTTACGCAGATCTACACGGATTCGAAAACCGGTGGTTAAATTAGATTTGTAGAAAACTACTTTTGTATTTTTTTTTTTGTTTTTTTTTTAACAAGGGAAGGAAATATTACATATTCAAATTTCCTGCCAGGAAAAGGGCAAGTAGGCAGAAGAGTTTTACAACTATGACAACATATTATTATTTATGTTAGCAACACGATTGATTGACATTACCAATTTTGTTAACAAGTACATTTACTTTTGTATTGCTCTTTTAAAAAGTGAATTACAGTTGTAACGTTTACCAGGCGTTTTAATTACTTAATATATATTGTGTATACATACACAACAGTACGACACAACTACAGCTTTAATATATACAGAAAATCAACCACAACAAGTGCAATTATACCACGAAACTCCTTCCACTGTTACCAACATAAATACTCCGTTTTTTACAGCATGTTATATAGGTTAAACAACATATCTGTTTCTGACATTGAACGACACAAATAAACAAAAATTTTTAAAAAATACAACCTAAAAGCCGCAATAAAAACAGAAAAAACAATTTACAACAGCCTTAAAAATGCCAAAGACCAAACAAATGTATTACAAAAGAACGGAGTAGGGGAAGGTGGGGGAATTCTGCGCATCTAAGCAAAATCTCTGGTATCTTTGTTAAGTTTAATTGTGAAATTTTGCAATTAATACCAGCGATAGTCTACTATGTTTACTATGTGTTTATAATGCGCAATTTATAAAAAAAAATTGTTTGGTATGCAAAAACTACATTTTTTAAATAGTGCATTTGCGCAAAATTACCCACCTATCAGGGTAATTTTGCGCACCATGTGGGGGAATTTTGCGCTGTAAAGAGAAATATTTTTAACTAAATAAACCTTTTATTTTTATAAAAAAAAACATAATAAAAACTATAAATAAAACAAAATATTTCTTCTATAAACATAAAATAAAAAATTAATAACTAAAAATAAAATCCTTGTTTTTGGATGGTCTACATCAAGCAGTTGTCACAAAGGTAGTTTTCTGGACTGTTTTTTTCACTACACTCCGCGTGTGCCCATGCTGAGCATCCCACGCACCTGTACCAAAGCTCTCTATCTTGTCCGAATTCCCCACATACTATGCAGATATCTGTATTTCTTGGGTCCACATCGTCCATTTCATCGTCGTCGCATAGCACATTTTCATCAACTTCCGACTCTGTTTCACTCTCATCAAATCTCACCTTTCTGACATGAGATTTGGTTTTTTTCTTCTTTTGGGGAATCTTCTTTGATTTTTGTTTCTTATTGGATTTGATTGCTTCTCTATTTTTTTTTCTTTAAGTCTGCTTCTTGTAAAACAACCTTCATAGGCGTCGATGTCAAAATTTCTGTGTGTTTTTTATTACAACTTCGCTTTCTTGTAGGTTTTGGATTTAATTTCGGCATAGGTAAGATATCCGAAAAGGAAACATTCATCTTTGATGTTCCAGGTTGAGGATCTTCTTCAGAAAATGTTCCTGGTAAATCCGAAGCAATATTTGTTTGTGAATGAATAACCTGATCTTGGTGGTTGTTGCTTTGTGTATCATCCAGATTTGCCAAAAAGTCCACTTCTTCATCTTGAACTGGTTGGAAATGTTGAGCAGGATGAAAATCTTCTTCGCTAAATATATCCGGATTAAAGGGACTAATTCCTCCTGCTCTAAATCCAGAAATTGCTTTCTCCATCGTGGCAACTTTTAGGTAGGCATTGTTAAAAATTTCAGCTAATTGAAAATGTGTTATTCTCTCACGTGGATTTGATCTCATATACAAATCACACTCTTTATTGTAGGCGGATTTAAGTGAACCATAAAATGTTAAATCCAGCGGCTGGAGCCGATGTGATGTATATGGAGGTAGGGATACAAGCACAATATAATTTTTCTTGCAATAATTATATAACTCTAGGGATATATGGCTAGAATGGTTGCCCAGTACCAAGAGGACCGGATTGTCTTGACTAGGATTGACGTGACTTTTAAAGTGCTGAATCCACTCATAAAATAATGAATTATTAATCCAACCATTATCAGAGCACTGATATATTGCGCCAGTTGGACCGTTATTCTTAAGCAGTGGATTCAATCGTTTTCTGGGAAAGATGAACATCGGCGAAATATATCCACCGGCTGCATTCATTGCACACACTATTGTAACAGTCCTTCCTCTTTTCAAAGAAATTACAGATTCAACTTGTTTTTGTCCTTTTGGACCTAAAATTCTTGAGGGTCTTTGGACTGTTGTTATTCCAGTCTCATCAACGTTGAAGATCCTATCTGCTTTGAATTCATATTTGTCTAATACTTTAGCAATGTTGGAAAAATACCGCTTGACATCGTCCTTATTGAAACCTAGAATTCTGTTGATGCTTGTACTCTCCGGTTTTCTCAAGCTCACTTGTGGATTTCTTTTTAGAAATAAATATAGCCAATCCTTTCCAGCAAGCTCAGATTTCTTACAAAAATTGTTAGCAATTTGGTTGGTTTCTGCATATTGAAAAACCAGCTTCCTTAGTTCTAAAATGCTTATTCCAAAAAACAATTTAGCCAGTTCCAAAACATGACTGGCTAATTCCTTCTCTTGCTCTTTGGTGAAAATACCCTTTCTACCAAGTTTCTATGTCCAAACCTATTGCTCTGTCCCAATTTATTTTTGTAGCGGAGAGTAGCTTCGGGAATATTAAATGCCCGTCCAACTTCCCTAATTTTGCGACCTGATTTAATAGCGTCCAATGCCTCTTTAAGGACGTCATTCGATGTATTAGCGCGATTGGGCTTTGTTTGTACATATGTTCTAGGCATCTGCAACAAAACATTTAGTTTTAGTCTTAATGCTAACTATTGCGTCCCTTTAATTTGAGGTTAAGTTTATGATTAATATTCATTTATTAAATGAGCCTTTTATTTTTTTTCAATAACCACAAACCTAACTTCAAAACTAAGGGGTAATTTTACGCAGCGCAAAATTACCCCTATTGTTCAGCGTAAAATTACCCCAATTGCAAGCAAAATATTATAATACTAAAAAAATTAACAAAAATTATCCTAATCAATACAAAAAAACACTCATGTTAAGAAAAAAGATCAAATAACGTTGTGTAATAAACATTTAAGCGATTGGACAGAAATTTAAACTTACCTCGTAACGGAAACGACACAGCTTTCTTACATCAACTTACATGCATCACAGTTAACTGGTCACTGGAATGCAAAGGCAAGCTGGATCGTGGTACCTCTTCGCGCGCGTATCCATGGCAACGTGACTAAAGCTGAGATATGCGCAAATCATATTATTTGCATCACATGTGGTAGAATCGTGTATGCGTAAAATTACCCACCGCGCAAAATTCCCCCACCTTCCCCTATACAAACTTGAATGCAAAGATTGCAATGCTGTATACATAAATGAAACAGGGAGAAGCTTTGAAACTAGAATTAAAGAACAACTTAAAAATAAAAATTCCAATTTCGGCAGCCATCTCATAGAAGAGAAACACAAATTTAATAAAAAAGGAGTAAAAATCCTACATATTTAAGATAAAAACTACAATATACTTATTAGAAGCAATGGAAATTGATAAACATGCACAAGACAAGAAATTTAAAAGTCATAACGAATAGGTGAATCTATATTATACACCAATATTTAAATATTTGAAACAACCGGTACATATAGAAGCATAAACAACCAGTATACATAAAGACATAACATGTCTATGAGGTGCCGTTTGTGCCATAATTAAACTCTCCAATATATATATATAATTTTGAATATACAGGGTGAGTTTTTTAAAGTGTTACAAGACAATATCTTGAAAACGGTTCAATATTTTTTTGTGAAATTTTGGTAAAGTAATGAGGACACGGGGGGACATATTTGGACATATTTTTGAAATTTACCCCCCCCACCCCATTTTGAGGGGCAAGGGGTAACTTTGGATTTTTCAATGGAATGATGTATTTTTTTTTGCACGTTGTTGTTTATTTCCATGGAAACGCGTTATTTTAATCTAAGTTGGTCGAAAATTTTGACATTTTGACGATTAATTCTCAATTTATTATTCAGTTAAACATGGAAAGTAATTTTAATTATGATTTATTAAATTACAAATTACACAAAAATTATTAATTAGAACAAATTTATTTTTTGCTTATTTAAGAAATTGTTCAAAATGCCGACCTTGAAGTTCTAAGCACTTTCTCACTCTTTTTTTAAATGAGTTCCGTACATTCTGCAGCATTTCAGGTGTTACATTAGAGCAGGCAACGCGGATTCTGTCCTTCATGTCCTCTAATGTTGTAGGCGCAATCGCCATCAATTTGTCCTTGATAAAACCCCAAAGGAAATAATCCAGAGGGGTCAAATCAGGTGACCTAGCAGGCCAATTGACCGGACCAGCTCGACCAATCCACCTATTTTGAAAAATTTCATTCAAATAGGTTCGGGCCTCAATAGCATAATGAGGTGGAGCTCCATCCTGCTGAAACCACATGTCCAGGTTTATGTTCTGGTTTAATAACTGCGGTAAATGGTTTCTTAAAAAATCCGTGTACATTTCTCCATTTAAGTGCCCTTCAAAGAAATGCGGACCAATAACTCTATCCTCCATTATTGCACACCAGACATTAAGTGACCATGGGTGTTGATTTGGCCGAATTCTTACCCAGTGGGGATTTTCCGCAGCCCAGTAGTGCATATTGTGTCTATTTACCTTTAAGAAAAGTACCAAACAAAAAAAAGAAATTAAATTTCTACTGATAAGGGATAATTTAAATTTGTACCTGCCCACAATTATGAAATGTAGCTTCATCGGAGAAAATAATATTTTTTAAAAATCTGTTATTTCCTAGCATTTTTCTGGCGACCCAATTGCAAAATGCAACGCGATTTTCAAAATCTTGTCCGTATAGCTCTTGGTGCAGTGTCATGTGATATGGATGAAATTTGTACAAATGCAATATGTTCAGAACAGATTTTTGACTCAGACCAGCATCTCTAGCAAGCCGCCTGGTACTGACTTGCGGGTCAACAGCTACCGCTCCTAAAACGCCAATTGCACTATTTTCATCAGTTTTATATCTCCTCCGAACTCGTTTTTTTGGTTTCAAACTGCCAGTAGTACGACTCCTCGCTTCCAGTCTTTGAAATGCCATATGAGATTTACGATTATCAGGAAACCTCTCTGCCCACACTAGTGCAGCTTCTCTGTAGTTTTTTCTACACTCCCCCAAAATCAACAACATATCAACAACTTGCACATTAAAATTATTTTCCATGTTTAATTGCTCAAAAAAGCTTTAATCGTCAAAATGTCAAAATTTTCGACCAACTTAGATTAAAATAACGCGTTTCCATTGAAATAAACAACAACGTGCAGCTTAACAGACTTGATAAAAACATTGAAATTATTTTTTAGTATTTTAACATAATAAATCATAACTCCGTAACCAAAAGAGCAAATGAATTTTTTTTTAGCACACATACGTAGTTTTTTACGTAGATTCGAATTTTATAAAAAAAAAAATACATCATTCCATTGAAAAATCCAAAGTTACCCCTTGCCCCTCAAAATGGGGTGGGAGGGTAAATTTCAAAAATATGTCCAAATATGTCCCCCCGTGTCCTCATTACTTTACCAAAATTTCACAAAAAAATATTGAACCGTTTTCAAGATATTGTCTTGTAACACTTTAAAAAACTCACCCTGTATATTTATTTTTTACCAAATATATATTTATTTTTTTCTTTATATGTATTTGTATTTCATATTTTAATATATGTTTTTATATATATATTTATTTCTTTAAATATATATTTAAATGCACAAATATATATTTGTAGTTGCTTTTAATATATTTATAAAATTCGACTTCACCATTTGATCGCTAGAGGCGCTGCTCAACTTATTAAATGTGGCAATGCTGCAGCAAATGCTGCAACCAATTAGCCAATAGGAGCTTTTGTTTACGAATTAAAATAACGGTTTGTTCTGCAAGGTCTCTGCGTGGTTAAAAAAATTTACCCCGTGTTTTAAAATTATTATTAAAACGAAATATTGCGAGTATCTACGTGTCTCCCTAAATAAAACCATACAACAGCGGTTTAAAAGGCGCTTTAAATCCAAGATACCTAAACCCAAAGAACATACACTTAAATTAAATCTTTGTATCATAAAATAATGAGAACACAGGGAAAACAATGTTTACCGTTATTTTAAATTGGTAAACAAAACCTCCCATTGGCTAATTCGGTGAGGCCCTAGTAAATATATATATTTGTACATTTAAATATAAATTTATTTATATATATATATATATATGAGGCATTCCATGTCAACTCGGCCACCCCCTCCTGTGCAAAAGTTTTTCGAAACGTGCAAGTGATGAATTTTTAGCTTATCGTCTTAACTTTTAAATGCCGAGTGGTATTTTGTAAAATTTCAAAATGGCGGTGTCAATATAGCGACTGCAAGCAATAGACATCACTTTAAAAAATCCTTAATACGTATTTTACATTAACTAACAACTTTATAAAATTAAAAATTAAATTTTATTTAATGCACTGATCTATTATTAGTGATTCTATGTATTTTTTACCGCTGATTACACAATGGTTCGCCCATAACCTCAAAAAAAAAACTTAAAAAGCAGTTTCTCGTAATTTACTCCCGCTTAATGCATTTTTGATAGATGGTTTAGCATTTGTTTTTTGTATTTCTCATTGCCTAATATAAATATGGCCTTACCTCAGAGTCGACATAAAACTGTACGTTCCTAACCTAAAATAACTCTCAAAAAATGTATTTTTACCTTCTTTACAGCTGTTTAAAGCATTTTAAAGATAGGCATAAGGTTACATTTATCGCCAAGTACGTAAATAATCCAACTATTTACTGCACACAAAGCAGTTTACCCCTAACCTTAAAAATATTCTCTACAAATTAGTTTTCTGCAGTATACAGACGCTAAAGAAAATTGAAATATGGGATTTATAGATTTATTTCCACACTTTTATCGCTAAAAATGTTTATGATCTTTGATGGCAGTTCTTTGTTAACCTATAAAAACTTTGCATCCTACCTATGCAATAAAAATGAGGTTTAAATGATATGTTAAAAATATGTACTATATAGTAGTTATTACATAACAATATGCTGAATTTGTAATTATCTATATCAGATTCTAACGATAATTAAATTCGGAGCCATTTGGAGCATTCGAATACTTTTTTAAGAGTACATTTTTATTTGGTAATACCACAAAAGAATATTATTTTTGGTACGAATTTAATTATCGGTAGATGTAGATTATTACAATTTTAGCATATTCTTATGTAATAACTACCTACTATATAAAAAATATTTTTAACATACGATTTATGCAAAGTTTTATAGGTTAACGAAGAATTGCCGTCAAAGAAAGATTATAATCGTATTTAGCGATAAAAAGTGTGAAAATAAATCTATACATCCCATATTTCAATTTTCTTCAGCATGTGTATCTGCAGAAAAAAATTTTAGAAAATATTTTTAAGGTTAGGAATAAACTGCTTTGTCTGCAATTTATAGTTGGATTATTTACGTACTTGGCAATAAAATTTAACCTCATGCCAATCTTTAAAATGCTTTAAACAGCTATAAAGAAGGTAAAAATACATGTTTTGAGAGTTCTTTTAGGTTAGGAACATACAGTTTTATGTCGACTCTGAGGTAAGGCCATATTTATATTAGGCAATGAGAAATACAAAAAACAAATGCAAAAATATGTATCAAAAATGCATTTAGGGGCTGTAAATTTCACAAAACTGCTTTTTAAGTTTTTTTTGGGGTTAGGGGCGAACCATTGTGTAATCAGCGGTAAAAAAAACATATAATCACTGATAATAGATTAGTGCATATAATCAAATTCAATTTTTAATTTTATAACGCTGTTAGTTAATGTAAACTACCTAATACGGTTTTTTTAAAGTGATGTATATTGCTTGCAGTCACTATATTGACACCGCCATTTTGAAATTTTTCAAAATACCACTCGGCATTTGAAAGTTAAGACGATAAGCTAAAAATTTATCAGTTGCACGTTTCGAAAAACTTTAGTCAATTTTGCACAGGAGGGGGTGGCCGAGTTGACATGGAATGCCTCATATATATTTATAAAAATATATATATATAGAAAACATGTATAAATATACGAAATAAATATATATATATATATATATATATATTGTAAAAAATACATAAATATGCAAAATTAAATATATATAGGAGAGATTAATTATGGCACAAACGGCGCCTCATACATGTCGTTCAAAATTAGTTTTATTTACATTCTATTTACTGTTTTATATAATATTTTACAAACACCTCATAGATGAAAAGTTTTAAATTAATTTTTTTATTTGTATTTGTTAATCTGTGTATTTTAAAGAAATTTTGAGAGACCCCTGAAGATGGTTAGTAATAACCGAAACTCGTCGAGTTTTTAAAATAAAAAAAAAAATAGGCAGAGAAGTGCTATTATTTCATAAACATTCAATCAAATAATTTATGCCTTTTTAATACCTTTAAAAAATTAAAACACAAATATAACATAAATAGGCGTATTCGATTTTATTATAAATAATGATAAAATAAATAAATATATTTTAAGCAGATATTGTACATTAGATTCAAACAATAATAATTTTTACTAAATAGATGCCTAAAAATTTTTGAAAATAGTTATGTAGATATACATTATCACATAATAATCCAAAAAAAATTAGGTCCGGACTCCTGCACCCTCAGATTTGGGTGTCTAACTCCGCCTATGAAGGGCCTACAAAAAATTTTCAAGAAAGATCCCAAACACCTCATTTAAATGGAAGAAAAACAATGATTTTTAAAAATAATTACCGAAAAAATGGCTAAAGTGCGTTTAAAATAAAAAAAAAGTTGCCGAGAATTTGTATACAAATTTAAAGTTACAAAAAGAGATGCACAACACAGCAGGAAATAAAAAAATTGACAAAAGCGCTAGCATGAAACTAACGCAAAAAATCGCCGAGTCAATTCAAGCCTCAGTAAATAAAGCCCCAAGATAGGGCAAGCTAATAGTGGCAATGAACAAAGTGCTCAAGGGTAGGCAAAAATAAGACTTGGGCACAGTAGAAGTAGAGCACAAACACACATCAAGAAACTTGACCACACTGTACATCGAGACCTTGATTTTAATGTCATATATTTTTTATGACGTGTAAAATACTTCGTCCTGCGGAGTACCACAGGAATATGTACAGGTGCCCACTTTGTGAAACGTGCTATATAATGGACTTCTAAGGCTGAAGCAACCTGAGGGCGTAACACTTATCGGGTATTCCAATAATATTGCCATATTGGTCACTGGCAAGAACAATCCATGAGACTAAATTTATAAAGTTATAAAGTGCTCTTTTAGTTCCACCCTTACATCCAAACTAAGATGTCCCATAAGCCAACTGAATGGCTTGTGCGGGTTAGGGGTAGGAACGGACCGACGGCTTAAAGTCCCCTCCGAAGGACTAAGTCCCCTCCGAAGAAAATGGTAATAATCAACATAGAAGGCTGGCTACGAGATATGCGCGAGATGCACTTATAGTACTTACCGAGCTTTCATCGATAGACCCGCTAGTTACGGAAACAAATGAAGTTTACAAAGCCCAGAAGGAAAATCAAAGCTGAGGCCAGAGTACGTTTAATCTAAAACTGAAAGGACAGCTGGTCAAATTCAGTTCTTAACTGAACACGGTAGTTTTCGATCTTACACGAAATCAATAGGGAAAACGATAGACGAAGTTTGTACTGTGGCGAAAAAGATGATCCTGTATAATGAGCAACATTATGTAAAAAAGAGCGAGGAAGAACTGTAGTATCAAAACAGGTTATACATATAGTATATACGAGCCCTAACCACATAATGTTCGGACACTTCATAATTTATACAGAAATTTTTTTCGTGAATACTATCTCAAAATTATTAGAAGTTATGAAAAATTCAGCTTATTTTGGCATATACCCCTCGAAGCGATTTTTATTTTTAAAAAGTTTACCTTATATTTTTAGCTTTTAAAAAAAGGCTAACTTTTTAACTTTTTTTTGTATGAGTAAAAAAAGTTTTAAATGGGCCCATTAAAAAGAACATAAAATATTATACAAACCCTGAAAATTTGGTAAAAAATAAATAAGTTATAAAAAAGTATAAGTAATTTAAAAATGCTATTTTTAAAGAGTTTTTGCAATTTTCTTAGGAAACGGGAGATT